TACAGTGTATTTATACTGTTCGAATTTATTTAACTGGATCAAGATCGAAGTTATAGTGGCAAAATACCTACTTGTCTATTTTTATCGACAAGAACATCGGCCGTAACAACAAAGAAATTTTCACATGCTCTTATTTTAGCATGCACATCCTAGCCTTGATTGCTAAACGTTCGACTAACATTATCTTGGGTGGGCGGCAAATAAAAGCTACAGGCTTTCACGGCGCTCGTACATGATCTGGATTAATGCCAATCTTGATTGTTTCGACCCCCTAGGCCTCAGCATCCTATGCAAACTTCCTGATTACCTAAACCCGTATCTGTCCGTTGGCGGAGGGCTCAAGAAAATGGCATGGTTCTTTTTAGTTTTTAACGTAATTACGATGCTAAGGCATGTTAAAGACACGGTCTCTAGCAGTGAATGTTGGAGGATAACTTGGTTCTTTAGTCTTGGAGTTTTAGATACTTCATTTGAGTACTGAGCATGTGCAGTGAGATAGTTTATCAATGTTTTCTACTGAGCTACCTGCAAGATTGTAAAAACTGTCGATCTTACAAGGTATTCGGACCACGTGGATAATGTAAGTCACCCACTTTCGGTGGACTAAGTCATCTGGGATGAATACTATTTCACATATCAATCTAGAGTAAAACTGAGGAGAAAATCAGTGTTATTTTTGCACTTTAATAGGAAAATGATCCAACCATGTCAAGAATCTTGGAAAAAGGCACGTCATCATAAGCGAAGTCCGATATGATTTATTAAAACCTCTCTGGCCCTCATATTGACGTTGAAAGGAAGTGCATCAACATTGCAGACTATTAATGGAAACATTTTTATTTCCTGCTTATTGAGCACTAAAATTTGAAATATTAAGTAACGGTTTCTTTCTTCCCAATCACGGGGCCTAAGTCGAGAGATGCCACCCTTGAGCTCAGTTCAAATTTTTTTTTTTTACAAAAAGGCCACTGTAGGACATCAGGTACGGAAAAGTCAAATGTTTTTTTGATTTTGACTACATCCAAGTAAAACAACCTGAACCACAAATTTCTCCAGCCCCTCACGTCCGTATAGCTTGCACTTTGTGGTATCGTGAGAGGTGACAGGAAGGCTATGGAACTTGAGACACATCACATATACCAGCACATACGAGAACCGTTCATTTCCTTCCTTCCTTCTGAGCGATTAAGTTTAATGGAGAATCTCTCCATTGCTAATTAGAAACTCCTGACGTTACATTCACAGAGGAAATAAATACCTTCCAATTTAATAGCATTTACTTTAGCATAAAATTTTTGGTGATATTGTGGTCTTGTTATTCCCATCTACGTCAATGAATCGTACCAATCATGTATTTACCTATGTTTTGAGCCCAATTTCGTCGGCGTTTCTTGGAAAACAATTTGTGATGGTCCAAAAATAAACATCTGAAACATCCTCTGAGACAGACGTTTCTAATATTCCACCATCATTGTCGTGAAACAATTTTCGTAGAAGCCATATTGGCTCGCTATCATAAGTGTCTCACAGAAAAAAAGAGACCATTTTCTACTCCAACCATTATTGTACACCAACATGTAAATCAAAGAAATCTTGAAGTTGTTACGATAGTAAAACCAAGACGACGTGACAAACATTCGCAAACGTTTCAGAAACTATTGGTCAGCAATCTAATATTTTTGGAGAGTGGTCATCAAAAGCATGGATACTCGCGCCATTCAAGAGCCACTTTTTAATCTCTTTCAATTCGGCTCAATATATGAATGAATTTCTTTGTTAAAAAGATATTGCTCTATTCTTTCAAAATTCTCTTCCACGTAGACAATCAGACCACCCCATTCAAGTGCTATTTTGGAATTTT